CCATTCTGGTGGGGAAGAATTTTTTTTCCATAAAAAACTACAATATCAAAAGGAAAGAGGGACATGGAAAAAAAAAAAAAACAAATTTTTAGTAATAAACCTTTAAAGGTTTGATTGTCCAATAGATTTCGGCAATGAACAGGTGTTGTGAATAGTTTAAGAAGAAAAAAAAAAAATTAATTTTAAAGTTAAACCAGTATTCAAGATGTGCAAAGAAACACACAAACATATTGTAGCCTGTCTTTAACACATGCATAGAATATGTTAAAGACAGAAATTCTTCAATGTTTTTTTAAAAAAATGGATTAACTTGCTGGAAAGCAGGTGGCAAAAAAATAAATAAAAAGCTTTTTTTCATATAGTTTTTTAAGTAAAATAATTAAAAAAAATATTAAGTGGTGGGTTGGGATTCATTTTTTTTTCTTTCTTTTTAGTATTTTTCAGCCTATTTGAAAAATTTTCAGAGTCTATAAGAAACTGAAAATTTATCTTCATTAATCAATTTCAGACTAATAAAAATTTTGGCTTTTAAAGTTTTTAAATTTTAAATTTATAATACTGACTTTGGATAGATTAGTGATAGTATTGTTTTCAGACTTACATGCAATATATCACATTCATATAATAATAATAATAATAAAAAGCAGATAATTTAACCACCAACTGAAGAAAAATTATCACAAAATTAACCAAAAGTTAAAAGAAACAATTAACTAAAAATAAGGTAAACTTCAAATTGAAATTAAAACAAATCATTTGAATTTATGCATCAGTGTGATAAGTTTAAGGAAATGTATTAAACATTAAAACAACTGGCAGGACAGAAAAGAAATTCTGAAGCAATTTGGTGAATAATTTAAGCTCTTTTTATATTTTTTTTTCTTTATGTGAGCATTTAAAATAAATCTATTATTGAATTGTATTGTTTTTTATGTAAAGATAAAAAAAAACAAAATAGAGAAGCTATTCAGACTACACATTTCACTTCTTTATGGTAAGCATCTTCAAATCATGAGACATGAACCCATATAGATGGAAAGTACACTGGAATTTGAGGAACATGTAATAAATAGCCTTATCAGTTGCTATGACCAGAAAGTCAATTCCTCACTCCTGCATTGAAGTTTGTTATGCCTGCTGGATTTGAAATTAGTCCATTCCAAGTAGATGGGTGGAAGAGTGATGGGCTTGATTAGTTTGTATTCTATATTGAAGAGAGAAATAGAGGAAAAAAAAAAAAACATCCACTTAGAGTGGACTAATTTCAAATCCAGCAGACATTAACAGCTTCAATACAGGGAAAAAAAAAAAAAAAAAATTTCCCGCCATAAGGATTTTTATTCCTGTTCAAATTCCAACACAATTTCCTTACACACAGGTTTGTCTCTCTCATCCTCACCTGAAGATGCCTACCATAAAGAAGCAAAACACAGTCTGAATATCTTTTTCCACTTTGTCATAAAATCTCCACTTTTGCTTGGACATTATTCTACATCCTCCTAATACCTATTCTCTTATGTAAAAATCATAACAACTACATTACAAAGACAGAAAACTGAATAGAGGCACTCCATAAAATATTTAAAAAATAAAAAAAATAATAATGTGATACAGTTCATCACTTTCAATTCCTTGTCTATCAATTTTTTTTTTAAGAATTAAGCTAATAAAAGAAAATTCCTAGAATGGTTTCTAATCATTAGGATGTTCAGTAAAAAAAAAAAAAAAAAAAAAAAATGAGAGATGAAAGAAACTAACCCAACACATTCTCCAAATTAAAAATTAAATTGTCATTCCTAGTTTATTGTTAAGCATGGCAAAGGACGGCAGTCTTACCAGTGAATATGAATGAAAAGGTGGTGGGGAGTAAGTAAAATTATATATATATATATATATATATATATATATATGAGATTAAAAATTTTGAATGCTCACAACATTGCAGCAGTCACTTAATATTATTTGAATCAGAGAGATATTATTTTATGATTTCACCATTTGCTGGAATTACAATGAAAGCACTTCTTGTATGCGTGTTTGTATTGGAGCATGGCAAAAATTTGTTTGTTTGCTTTCTAGAAAAGACAATAAATAAAAAAAAAAATAAAAAAAATTGGTCCCCAGTCCCCAACAGAGGCATTAAACTGCTTTTGATTTCTTAAAAAAAAAAAAAAAAACACCTCTAATTTGCAAGAATAAATTTTGCAATTTACCCTGTATATATCACCATTGAAATGAATTTGTTTGTTTCCCTTGACAAGAAAAAAAAAAGAAAGGAATAATTGGTTAATTAAATCTCACGTTTTCACATTACATGTAATTATCATATAACAGGTGTCAATCAAATATGGTCATCTTCTAAACTAATAAAGGAGATCTCAGAGCTCAGGCATCATGTGTAGATCCACATGTCATTAAGGATCAATAGGCAATGTATTTATACATGTGTGCGTGTAATAGCAGTCGAACTTATTAGAGAAAAAAAAAAAAAAAAAGCATAAAAAGTCTATGTAATAAAGTACGAAAATGAAAAGAATGCTAAAGGATTTCTAATTCAACTATGAAGAAAGCATACAAAACTTTTTATTATATATCTTCAGACACTCAACCATCCATTCTATATTAGTCTTCAAATACACTCCTGCATTGATACAAATGTACGCTTGAATAATAAAAGGGGAGCAGGCACAGAAAAAAAAAAAAATAATAAAGGATTCGTGAAAGCAAATTTAGATTAAAATTTCATCAAAAATCCTAGTTTTCTTTGTTTTTGTAAAGGTTCATATGACAAAGGAGAATTTTAAATTAAAAGCATTCTTAAATAGAAGCAAGAAAAATCTGCTTCCATTGTTGGTTAACTTTGTACTGCCATTAATATTTTGAAAAAAAAAAAAAAAAGTAACTAATACTGTAGAATTTAATAAGGAAAATAAATTTTTTTTATTCTGCCAAAAATATATGAGGCAGTATGAAGCATTTTGGTACATAAAAAAAAATTCTTTTTATCAGTCAAAGATAATTATATGCTTAAATACTAGAGATAAATGTCTGAAATATATTTATGAATACTAGATACTAAATATATTTATAAATACTAAAATCTAGATTAATGTCTGAAATATAAATATATTCCAGACATTTATCTATAATTTTAACATATCCAAAAACAAAATAAAGTTATTAAAATGTAAATTTTCTATTTAGAGATAAGTGAAAATACAAAATATTTTCATAATGAACTTGATCATACATTTTGCCATATATATATATATATATATATATAAAATGTGTGTGTGTGTGTGTGTGTGTGTGTGTGTGTATATAAAGATAGAGAAACTAGAAATAATAAATTTTCTGTAACTATTTTAGAATGATACTGAATTTGTTTGTCAATATAAACTTTACCAGTCTCTAAGAAAAAAGAAAACATCTGCTAATAAACAAAGTTATAAAGGTTGACAATGCTGTTAAGCAGTTGTTGCTGCTTAGTTTTAATTCCTTTTAATGTTATTTTCATTATCTTTGGACATTTAAATTAACCAGTTTATAGCAATTTCTTACAGGACACACATAAACATAAAAAAAAATAAAACAAACAAATGCATTCATATAGGTTGGCAGGCACACATGACTTCAATATATGAGTATATCCTTCATGCAGGAACGCAACCCTGCATTGTATATTTGTAAAATAAGTGAAGGAAGGTAGGAGGGGGAAAAAAGGGACCCCAAAGTCAGGGAAGGCTCTGTTTTTGATGTTTTTTGTTAAACATTTTTTTCTTTTCTTTTTTGAAGAAAGAGAAGGAGGGGTTTGAGAAAAACCTCAAATCATTTAAATCTATTGATTACTTTTCCCTTCATCTTACAAACTGGACGAGAACCAATTAGTTAATTCAAATGTAATATGTATCTGTAGGAGAGTATAGACATAATTACATGTATCTACTTCTTTCCCTTTGAACATGTATAACATGTGGCTAATTTCTTTTTTTTTTTTTTTTTTAATGATTATAGGGAGGTCATCTAAACAATGCAAAGAAAAGTTTAATTTTTTTGTTGTTTTTAGCATTGATGAGAGTGATAATTATAATTAGGCATGAGGTTGAGCATAAATTCTAATGAAAAATAAATGAAAATAAAGGAAAGGTACATTACTTACTGAAAGTAAAAAAAAAAAAAAAAAAAAAAAAATGAAAAGTTTAGAGGAGAAAAGGAAAAAAAAGACTGTCATTCTTTTTGAATTAAAAAAAAATTTAATCATAATTTGGTTTTTTCTTTTTTTTCTTTTTTTTTTTTAAAAACTTCATTTTTTTTTTTTAATATTTTTTTTGGGTTTTTGTTTTTATTTTTTTTTTTAAATCAGTTACTTTCTACTGGAAAAGCCCAGAGAAATATTCGTGTATGCATTATTATTGTTATTTTTGTATGATTTAATTTATCCATAATTCAGCAGCCAATTTCGTTTTTCATTTAGGATATTTTTCTTTTGTTATATTTTAATCTTACACTTTTGTTTTGTACTTTTTCTTTGCTGTTGTGTTAGTGTTCATGGTTGTCATGGTGATGGTTAAAGTGACTACAGCAGATATTACCAAAATAAACAAGGTCTTCTGAAGCCCAGTCCTGCTAATAAAACATAGTAATGCCTGTCATTCAGTCAGATAGTATAATGGAGGACAGTTAGTAGTGGTGGTGGTGGTGATAGTGGGAGAGATGTATTATTCATTTCCTGGTGTCAGTCTGTCTGTCTGTCTGTCTGTCTGTCCGGTGACCAGTAAGTGTTGAATGACAAAAATGACCAGACATTTTATGAGGCAAGACAACTTTTTCATTATTTTTTCTTTTCTTTGAAACTGTTTAATTCTTTTTCTTTGTTTATTTTTTCAGTTTTTTTTTTTTTTTCTTTCTTTTGTTCGTTCTTTAGCGTGAGTATTAGTAGTAATGGTAATTGGTTGCTTTTAATATTGGTGGAGGTGTTGGAGATAAGATGGTGTCACAAGTTACAACAGCTCAACATAAGTTGCTGGGATGAGCCCCGATGGGCCATTACCAATTTGAGCAGTCCACCAATCAGAATCCTGCCGGTCAGTGATGTTGAGTATGTCACCTTTTCTAAAACTGAGCTCATCATTTCCTCGACCAGTAAAGTCATATGATGCCCTCGCTCTCACCTGTTAGTCAAACAAAAATAGAAAATGTGTGATGAACTTCTGAACAACAAACATTAAAACATAAAAACAATTTCAAAAGTTTAAAAAATATTAGATTTGCCTCAAAAATTGGTTATCTTAAATACATTAACCAGTAATTAACTAAGAATCTTCTTGGAAATAATGATTTACTGATACAAGTCCTACTAATTAACTCATAGTTGGAAAGAGAAGAGGTGTTTTAATGAGATAGAGCTGTAAACCTAGCAAAGAATAGACTGCATCTTTAAAAAGAGGTAAGACACACACCATATTGTTGGTAGTAATAATAATAGTAGTAGTAGTAGTAGTACAGTGTAACCTTGGTTATCAGCTTTAATCTGTTCCAGAAAGTCGTCCAAAAACCAAAAGCATGAAAACTGAGGCAATATTTTCTCATAAGAAATAATGTAAATCCGATTAATCCACACACCCAAAAATATCAACAATACATTTTATACAGAGTAACTAATTTTATTTACAGAAAATAAGAGATAAATTTAAATAACAAATAAATAGAATAAATGAATCTAACTTCACTTTAGCTTTATTGAAGACACTTGTTGGCATATGTTAGATGGGGAGGAGGTGGGAGGGAGGAAAGGTTTTATTGTTTGGATGCAGAATTCCCCTCCATAAAGACATCAGGTAAGCATTTTTTTTTTCTTGGGTTATTTCCCTTGCCTGTTTCTTTGTGCTTTGTGGAGGTCATGCAGCAGCAGCAAGCAAACAGGAATAAACATGTTTGCAACGGACAGATTTCCTTGCTCAATAACCAAGGAGATGCACAATTTCTTTGGTATACTTTCACCAAAAAAGTGAACAATAACCAAATCATATGATAACAGATATGCTTGATAACCACTGTAGTAACAGGATGGTGATGATGAGAAATGCATTTAGAGAAGCGGATATTTCCTTCAGTTGAACTTTCATTTAAATTCTGCTTTTATATTTTATAGAAGAGAAAGTTGGATAAGTACCACCCACAAGTTTATAATGAAGTAAAAAAAAAAAAAAAAAAACACCAAGATTAACAGGCATGTATTGCAGGTGTCCAGAAATAGGACAAAAAGTCCAAAGTGTTTTTGTTTCACATGCAAATAACTTCACTCAATATAAACCTAAATTTAGTTTAATGGGTAGTGAGCTTTTAGCCTTCCATGAAGTGACAAGCTTGCTCACAAAAAAGTGATTGACAAATGTCGAATTATACAGGTTGTGTTGCCTTGGATGGTAGTTTAAGTGGTAACAGTGGCTCGAATTACAAAGCCTGTGGTTCACATTGGCAGGTTGCATTAACAGTCTTACAGTTGTTATTAACAAAGAGTATGGCTGTGAAGATGGTATAATGGCTAATGGGCTGGAATAAGAAGTTAGTAAGTTCAGTCTGAATTCCACTTGAGTTTGTTGCATTCATTTTCACACAAATATCTTTAGGTAAGGTACAAATTCATCTCTTCTTCCTCCAGTAGAGTAGACTGAGCTCTTCAGCTTTGGCTAGCAACCAGCCTAGAAGAACAATTCTGAATTCAAAACCAATTGGGTATGGCTCAGCAATGCCCATCCTGTTAAATTTACCTGATACAGAAACTATAGTAGCAATGGCTAGTGTGCTAAGATCTGCAGCCTCTAATTCTCAGTGGAGTCCACACAACATGAGTGAGTATATATTGTAATTTCACATACTTTGCAATAATTTATTTTTATTACTTTAAATATTATTTTTAGAGGATACTTGTATTTATGTAGATTCTCAGTTTATCTTAAACAGTATTTTGTCTACTGGCCTGCAAACTTGAGAAGATTTATTAAAGAAAATGCACAGGATTTGAATCAGAGTCCCCCCTTTTCAGAGGAAACCAATGTGCTTTGACCACTTAGCTACAAAGCACTTCACATAGCAAGCAAGGTTAAAATTTTCTCAAAAGGCAATAACTGCCCAGTTTCTTATCCAAAACAGAAATGAAGCAATTTCTAAAGAATTAATGGATTTTATTATTTTTTTAATCCAATTTATTTTTATTATTTAACATTATCTTTTAGTAGTATTTGGTATGTTGAATTAAACAGTAATTTCTCCTGCAAAGGGGGGCACACGTTCAAATATTGCCAGAGGGAACATTTTCTTTAAGTTTTTTTGAATGTGCAAGCCAGTAGTGAAATAAAATATTGTTTAAAATAAACAGAGCATCTACTCAAATACAGGTATCCACTAAAAATAATGTTTAAAGTGGCTTTATTGCCTAACCTGGGGTGAAACGATTACAAGAAAAAAAAAAAAGAAAAAAAAATGATTTATTTATTTGGTAAAGTTGCTAGCAATAATAAACTGCTTGTAAAGGATGACACCTTTCATATTCCACTAGGACTTCAATGGATGCAAAACCCATTTTTCATCACCTGTAACAATGTGATGCAAAAATGAAAGGTTGACATTCCTGATTGAAAGGACTGCAGCAGATGGTGGAATATTGTGTTTGTTTCTCATGAGGAACACAAATTCCCTTTTTGCAAGTTTTCCCAATTTGTTCAAGATATTTGTATACAGTTTGACATGAAACATTAAGTTTTTGTATAAATTCTCTGGTTCTTTGACATGGATCCAATTATTCTTTGTTAAGAAAAATAGTCTTAAGTTGAAAAGCATTTACAGAGTTAAATAAATACATACTTTTACTAGAAAGGATATGAAAATGAATGTAAAACTGAATGTAAGTTAAATTTATTTAAATCAAATCACATTCATTGTCAGTGACAACAGCCCAATGGTAAGGTAAATTTTTGATTCCATATTTAAAGAAAGTTTGAATGACTTCCATTTCTTTGTTTCTAAATGTTCTTCAACCAATAAAATATTCTAGTCACTGAAACAAATAAAAATCTGTAGATGTGAAATTTGATAAGTATGGAGGATATGGAAAAACCTCCCATCTTAAAGATTTTATTTCAAAGAGTGTGTCTTCGCATTGTCATGCTGGAGAATAACACCTTTTCTGTTTACCAAAGCAGGACACTTTTGGCATAATGTTTTGTTTACCTATCAAGTCACTGGCAATTAATGTCTTCTTTAATTCAGTAGCTCATAATGAAATCTTTACATGTCATGTCCGCTCAAGGCAATTATGGCTCTCCACAATTTCCTGCCTTTTGTAGCTCTTAATAAATTCTAACTTTTTCTCCTAAATATTGTTCTACTATCCAGTTACTCAAGCACACTAAGTATGTTATGCATTGTTTTCTTCTATCCTTCTTGCCTTCAATCTGTCTTGTGAGTATTAGATTTTCCAAGGCCTCTTCCCTCATTATGTGTGCAAGAAATTTCAAATATCTCATCCAAATGTTAAGTTTCCTTTTTATTTCCATTTTTTTTTTATACAACTTTGTTGTTGCCGACATATTCAGTCCTTGGTATCTTCACACTTTTCACATTCCATCAGACGCAAATCCAGGATACTTCTACGGATGGAATCCCAGTTTTAGCATTGGCACTTGTTTCTCATTTTGTGATAGCCACTGATTTTTCTTTTTATCGTGCAAAACCCATTTTTCATCACCTATAACAATGTGATACAAAAATAAATGGTTACTATTCACAGTTAAAAGTTTTTACAGATGGTGTTACATGGTGTGTAGTTCTCAAGCAAAAGCTCATGAGGAACTCAAATTCCATCTTTGCAACTTTTCCCAATTAAACTCGGAAATAAGCTATAAATAACAAACTGTCAGACACAAGAGATGATAAACTAATTCTCAACACCATTTCTTACCTTTCAACTATGGTTCTGTATTAGTTGGTCAATTAATAGTGTTATAATATGTAATTGCTTTCTGAACACCCTAATATATTGATAGAGGGACTGATCTTTTATAAAAAAAAAAAAAAAATCTTTCTTCCACTCATTTTACAATAAATAACTTAAAACTTGATGAAATATATTGCAAGAAAAGTATTGCTTATGCAGCCAGGGATGAGTTCGCTTATTTCTGGGAGAAAATAAGTATTTACATTCTTTGGACTGTGGTCCTCATCTTTATTGTCATATTCACAACGTTGTATACTCTGGACTTCTTCAGGTGATTGGAATTTCAAACTGAACCCATTATTTCATCCACTAGGGTAGAGTGTTCTCATTCCACGTATCACACCTCTTCCAGATGTCTCAGTTATCTCCCTTTAACTCAACTCTCCAAGTTTTTGTTCACCACTACAGTAACCAAGTATTGAACTCGCAACTCTTTGGGTCAAGTCACTGCAGCCAACCAAAGCTTTTATCCACTGGGCCATAAAGATGAGGACAACAGTCCGAATAATGTAAATAATTACAATACCTCATCTCAGAAACATAGACAGATAGAAAATAAATAGACTTACTCTTTTTTCCTTGACCATATCCTGGAGGACAATATGATGGCTTTTGCTGACAGAAGCAGTTTTATAATGTTTTACAAGTAAAGAGAGAGTAGGGAACTTCTCAGAATCCCATATAAAATAGCCATCATTTTGTTTGTAGATTTTGAAATGCTGAACTTCGTTTAAGTATCTGTAAAGAAAATAAACTTATTTTTTAACAACTATAGACAATATAAAATAATAAAAGTGGTAGGCACATAGATAAAGTGTAAATCTACCTTTGTGAACACCTGGAGAGAGATCTACCTTTGTGAACACCTGGAGAGAAAAAAACTAAGCAATAAAAAAAATATTTTGAAAAGTTTAAGGAACAATAAACTTTAGTAATATTTTGAATATTATAATATGAAATTGTTATTCACTACTTTCCTGTCTTTCATACCTTCGATATGTTTCATTAGTGTCAAATTCTCCAAACACTCTTCTCATTAAGTGCTCTAGAAATTTCAACTATCTTTCTGATTCTAAGTGTAAATGTCCTTTTTGCTTCCATCTATAAAACAGAAGTTGCGTGTGTTTGTGTCTGTGTGTGTGTGTGTGTGTGTGTGTGTGTGCATGTATGTGGGTCTGCCATTTATGTACATCCACATTTCTCAAACGATTTCAATGAAATTGTACACACGTGGCAAATTTATCAAGATAGGTCAAAACCAATGTTTCAATTTCCAAGTACCCCAGGTTTGATACAATCAATAAAACTGAAGATGGATATGACTTTTTGCAAAAACCAAGGCAAAGTTACACGTGAACAAAATTTTTTACTAGATGAGCTGATGTTCTTTTCACTTAATGCAAAACATAGCTCATGTTACAAGGTTTATGTAGAGTGCTTGATAGTTTTCCTGCGACATTGGCTTCACACAAAAAAAAGCAAAATCTATGAAAAAAAAGAAAATCAGGTTTTTCGTACTAAAAATAAAAACTGGCTCAATTTTTTTTATCTGATTTTCTTCAAACATATTGCAAAAAATTTGCCATCATGCAAGAAATAAGATAGTGTGGTTTTAATCCTGCTTGCTTCCCCACATATAATGAAAAACCACAAAAAACTGTTAAAAAGCCCGTTTTCAGCCATAACTACCTGGTTTTTCATCCAATGCTTTCCAAATTTGCCATGTAAATTACACGACACACAAATTGTTTTGCATCAATGTTTGGTTTAGATTATTTTACTTAAGTGGACAAAATCTGTGACAAACTCAGTCCAAAATTGGTTTTTGTCATTTAGCCAATAGTTTCTTCATATGATTCCATCCTAAGTTGGCATTCAAACAACCTTTGATGCAAAGATTGTCCGAGAAGGATTATTGAAACGTTAAAAGGAAAAAATTCAAAAAGAACCTCTTATTAACCCCAGCTATTCAGTAAATGTGTGAAGGAGGGGGTTGAATCAAGCTCTGATGCTTCATTGCTGATTTTGTTTGATTATTAGATTTGTGTACAATGCCATAGTATTTGAAAATTATCATGGCCATAGGAAATTTACTGAATATCTAAAACATTGAAACAATTTAACCCCAAGCAAAACCACACAAGAAGGTTTTACGATGGAATTCCTTTATTAAGAACAATCAAACACTTGCAAAGGACATTCCTTAAAAAAGAGTGGGGGGAGGGCAAGTAGCTTAGTATACTAATGGATGATGAACGCAGGTAGATATTTCTATATAGGGGAGTGCGGTTATACAATTGCAGCCATGTGCACCCAGGCAACACTGATATCTTGGTTAGTTTTTTTTTTTTTTTTTTTAAATGGTCATTGCACAATATTTAGTTCATGGTATTCTCAGCATTGTTCTGTAGATCAACATTTCTGCAGCGTCTAGTCTTTTCATTTGATGAGATTGTCCAGTATTCAAGTGCCAGATAGGTAGACCGATATTCAGGGCTCCTAGGTTAAAGAAATTATGAGGGTACACTCTAACCAGTCTTGAATATTTTTTTTACTTGTGATATATTTTAGCAATATTTACATAGCCTGAAGTAAACTTATACATGGCCATATTATGAGCTTTATGGGCCTCTATGCTAATGAAATTATGGCCCAATCCTTATACAGAGCAGTCCTCTAACTCGCCTGCACTAGTCTTGAATATTTATTTTACTCATGATATATGTAAGCAAAATTTATATAGCTTGAAGTAAACTTATTGCAAATTCTTTAAATAAGTTTGCCAATATTCTTTAAAGAAATACCACCGTTTTACTATTTATTGCAAACCAAATTAGCACATATTTCAATACAGCCATAACAAAAAAAAGATTTTTTCATAACCAACATTCTAACAATAAAACAATCAAAATAATATGAGTTTGTCATATTGATATTATTTCAGTTTCTGAAACTATTTAGAAGTTATAACATCTAGAAAATTAAAATCATTGCTTTATAAAAGCTTGAGGGGACTTAGACTGTAGCCTATACTAGCCTAAATGATAATCTGGTCCAGCCAATATTACAAAATAGTTCATTACTCTTCTTTTTTTTTTTTCTAACAAGGATTGATACTAATTAGCATTTTTGCTAGTAATTTGTAAAGAACTTCATTTTGTGAAAAAAAAAAAAATGAATCATCTGACAAATCATAAACATCCAATAAAATCATGGTTACATCATGGACAATAAAATACATAAAGAAACTTACTTCACGGACAAACTATGTTCTCCTTCTTGTCGCCCTCTCCTCACAAGGAATGCTCCATCTGAGTTAACGTATTGATTATTGCTCTTTGATAGTAGCATCTTCTCAGCCATTTGTCGAGTTACATCTGGCATCAACCAACTGAAATTAGATATGAAAGAGTGCAATAATAAATAATACAGCAGAGAAACGTAAGACCAATTATGACAGTTATAAAGGTTTCAACAAAACAAATAAAGAATCAGAAAAATCCCAAATCAGAAATAAAATAAATAAAATGGAAAGAAAAACAGCAGCACTGAGATTTCAAGAGACAGATTAAAAGTATTGCAGAAGAAAATATTTGAAGAGATAAACTGAATGTATATTATGAATGACAACATCAAACTGTATAAAAAAATCTATATTAAAAAGACATTAAATCCTTAATACCCATAGTAAAATCATACAATTATAAAAAATTTAAATTGATTAAATGAAAACATGGGAGAGAGAGAGGATGTATGGATGATTTAATGGTTATCACCTTGGAACAAGAAATTGACAAACCAAGTTTGAGTTCCAGTCATGCTTGTTACATTCACTTTCATAAATGTTATTTTTAATGGATACTCATATTTGAGTAGACATTCCATTTATTCATTAAAGGATATATGTGTGTGTGTGTCTACTGGTCTGAATATTCAAGAAATCTTATTAAAGAAAAATATGAACACTCTAGCAGGATTTGAACCTACATCTCCTTTGGCAGGAGAAACCATCGTTAGAGAGAACATACTTTTCTAAGCTTTTGTATCCTGATAGAATACGACACACCATATAGCCTTCAACAATTTTGGCTGTCATGACTACTGGCAGCTCTGTAATGGTATCTTAAATAAAAGAAAGTTCAGCTGAGAAAACTGCAATGATAATTTTGAAGAAATTACTTTGAATTCCTCATTTCACTCTGTGTAACTTTAAAACCTCACTTTAACTCTGATTTGAGCTGTAAGTCGAATTCTAGCCAAAAGACAGATTTAGGCCCAAATTCCAATTTAGGCTGAAAAATCAAGTTCTTCAAATCACAAACTCTGTAGAACTTCAAAACCTCACATCATGAAACCTCACTTTAACTCTGATAACTTGCATTTTTAAGAAATAAAATTGATTTTCTCAATTCAAAGTTTTTCAGTCTTGGGATCATCCTGATTGTGATTCCAAATAGGTCTATGCAGAGCATTATGGCTCAAGTTAAAGGGGTTTCAGACACATGGATGGACAGACAGAATTTGCTGTTTGTTTATTTAGATTACAGTTCTTTATTGAGCACTTTTTGCTAGAAGTTCTGCTACCCTGAAAAATACATAAAATTCTTTAATTTTAACCTTTTTATTAATTGTATTACCACTGTTATTATTACGTTACAGACACACAATATATATATATATATATATATATATATATATATATATATATATATATGGTAGATATTAATGGTATAGGTATTTTATTTTTAAAAGAAATTTTGTATTTTTGTTGTTAATCATAAAAGATTTTTTTTAATTATTAGTGCAAATGTTTTAACTAACAAGCAAAGACTTATCACAGCCAATCATAACAAATATAATATATACCATATATATTTGTGTATAAGCTATGTATAGTGCAACCCCTGAATTTTGGGGCATGAATTTTAGCCACTCCAGAAAAAAAAATTATTAGTGTATTGTGCAACAGGTCACCAAAAATGCATGATTTTTAATCTCTTAAAAAAACAAAAAACAAAAAAAAAAAAACAAAAAAAAAACACAACACCCACACACATTTTTGCATAAAAAAACTTATAAGCACTCACACTATACTCAAGTATATATGGTACTTAATTTTGTAGTATCTATTCAAGTTAACATGATGGAAATTTGGCAGGCTAATAATGTCACTATTCTTGTTTCAAACTCAGCTACCAGCTAAGTATTCAAATAAATATGAATTTTAATTAATGTAATTGTCTTTATATTGGGGAATAAAATGGACAAATTTTCCTGAAGAATATATTCCTATGAACAATTTAAAGCATTATAAAACGGGCGAAAAAAAAAAAAAAAAAAAAAATCAAATCCCTTGAAGAAATGTGTGAACACATCCAAAAACATTTAGTCAAGATAATAAGTGTCAATAAAAATAAATTTAAAAAAAAAAAAAAAAAAAAATGTTACTTTTCAAAATAATGGAATTTCTAATCTTTGACTATTTCCTGTCAATAGAGATTTGTCCTGTCCCTATCTTATTTTTCTGTTATCTTCACCACAACTTGTCAATTTTGGCTGAAGTGTTTATAACCAGAAAGAGAAGAAAAAAAAGTAAAGGGAAAGGGTAAAAGAAAAAGGCTTTTTTTCTTTTAACTTTCTCTTTCCTTTTCCCTAATTTAAACCCTTTTGTTTTATAGACATTAGAAAAAATTGACTTTCTACACATTTTACATTTAGCTCTGATGAAATTTCTTTGAATGAGGGCCACAATTTTGTGATAATCAGATTGGGCCAGAACATCCATCAATACTGCAGACAAGATGCCTGTTTTTTTCCTGAGTGAACAATGAAAACTTACAAGAATGCCACCCGGGTTGACATTGCTAGCAAACAAGCTATTTGAACTGCATTTTTTTTTTTTTTAAATCTCTGAACCCCTTCCAGAGCCAGTTCAGTCTTCTCAGAATAACTCAGCACAGCCTCTACTTATGTCTGCCTTCTCTTTTATTGAGCCTGATGGGTCAACTACAGAAGAGATGCAATCCTCTTCATCTTTAAAAAAAAGCAAACTTTTTTTCAAGCACTGGCTCACAAAATACAAATGGCTCTTTTCAGATTAAAACTTCACATACTGTAACATTTGTAGTAAATATAATAAAACAGTTACATCTCTGATTAAATTAAACATATGCACAAACTTTCCACACTCACACCATGTTTTAAGCAAAGAACATCAGTCCTACCTCCATTTTCCCACTCTGCAAAAAAAAAAAAAAATGAAGTAAGGTGAAGTTGGGCAGTGAAAGCAGCACTGGTGCTGTTAATAACAATTCTGGTTCTAGAGGGAGTCCTGCTGTCAAAGTTTGAGTCATTACAAAACTTTCTGATTAGAGTCTCAGATCACTTAGCTTTATAGCAAGAAGAAATAGCATACAAGTTCATGATATACAGCTGAGGAACTGTTGTCCAATATGCATTGCAGCACTATAAACAAAAGTAAATGACCCCCCCCCATTTGTAACTGTGCCTATAAATTAATCTATAGACATAACCAACCACAAATGTTTTGTTGTAGATGTCAAAATTATTGACCCTTCCAAAGTCATTTCAACAAAGCACTCATTTTGTTGCAAATAAAGTATGTGTTGGTACAATGGATGCAAGAATTTCAAAATACCTTCAGGAAGTGATGCCAGAACTAGAAATCTCATTAACCAAAGTGATCAGTATGAGATCAGATGTAGCTGCAGTAATGACTTTGGAACTAAGGCTGCACATGCATGCTGCTTAGGTCCAACCCCTACAAGATAAAAAAATATTGTGTTTCCCACCCCCTGTCCTTAGAGTCAATAGCAGATCAAAGAGCATCAGCTGATACTGACTGAGCTCTTATTACTTGTGTGCTGGTCTGAAATGAGCAGCCAAAATACACAAAAATTGCTGGACGACCCAATGCTCACTTACAATGAGCTGCATTCCATTTGATGGATATCATGCAACAATGCACTTCAGACTGCACACAGGACAATTGATAGCCTACTGACATACTTCAGTGAAATGCCTTAAGATCTCTGCAAAGACCCAAAAATAAATGGCCTTAAAAATACAAATAAAAATTCAAGAGTTCATCAACTTCATCAAACTCTGATGATGGATGTTATGGTTTTATCCTAGTTCCTGCAAACAGAAAATGTGGATGTATCTTCAATAAAAGACAAACAAGATTTTTACTGTCAAGGATCTGGAAAAGATCGGGAAATTGACATCTCCCAACCTAACAGTATTATCCAGAGACATTCAGAGCAATATGTACAAGGGTGAGTATCAGATCCAAAGGTCACATTCTATTTTATTTGATAATTTATTTTGACAGTATTTATGTTGTCACAGAAAAAAAATATTCTGAATTTTGTTTCATACAAATATGAAAGTTGGCAACATCATTGATTAATTAGTCCCATACTTCTAAGCTGATTCAAGGGAGATTACAAAATTTTTAAAAGAGTTTGCCTAATCCAATTTGCTTTTTCTAAGAAAACCAAAGTCAATATATTCAATTTATAAATTTAATTTTAAAAATCTGTTCATAAGTCTCAAAAAAATATAATTTCTTAATTGAACTGTGATTAAGTGTAAATACTGTTTTTGTTTTGATTTGAAAATGGTTGATTTAAGTGAGTCAATACAAAATCATTTTTTAGGATGATGGTAAAAAAAAAAAAAAAAAAAAAAAAAAGAAGAAACAAACTGTTACTCTACAGGTTAACACTACAATTTATTAAGAAATTTTAGTTGAGACACATTGAATTTCTTGAGGGTCAACTCAAATCACCACCTGTCCCAGGGATTAACTACATTAAAAACCAATCAGCATATCTATCTATCTATATATCTATCAATATCTATATCTCTCTCTCATATATTTCTTAGTAAAATCTATGAGTAAAATAACAAAAAGGCATTTATTTATAAATAAAATAATGATATTTATTTTAATATATTTAAAAATAAAAGATAATTATCTTTATGAAAGGAAACTTATTTTACTCATTACATATAAACAAACACTCACTCTTCCCCTTCCTGCTGTTGAGACATAGGTGAGGTCTGGTTTGTTTATGTTTAGTATCAGCTCTACCTCCTTCATAGCATGATAACAGTGTGTGTGTGTGTGTGTGTGTGTGTGTGTGTGTATTTCATTAAATAGCATACCGTGTATTTATTTTTATACTGATCTTTTCCAGTTGTTTAATCAGTTTCTTCATGAAATTCATCAAGATGCCATAGTTGTTTTTTTTTCCTAACCCAAGTATTTTTGATCTTTTCCCATATCTTCAGAGGTAAATTACAAAGATAGACTTTTTGTAACAGAAATAAAATATGCATTCCATTCTGTTATAGTTATTTTAA